ATCATTATTACCGAAAAAAAAAAATTCTTACAATCAAAATTATATTCTGACTTACAAAAGGTTGATATGCCGTAAAAAGCAATTAATCAAACAAACAATTAGTAATTTTCCAGCTCCATAAAAAATACAGAATGCTACAAAACGTATATGTGTTGCGTAGCTGAGAATGTGTTAAAAATTTCACTTGTAGAGATATTTTTTTAATTTTTTTAAGCAAACGGGAGTACCACTAGTACGCAGAGGGTTACAGAGGGTGAAGGTGAGATAAAAAAAAACTTGGTATTGACGTTGCATTTAAACTTTTGAAGATTGTAGTTATCAGGAAAGCAAGTAAGCGAAAGGGACTTCCAACTTCGGTAAGTACGAAAAAAGAAACTGTTGGAGTGGAAGTGGCGATCACATTTAACTATTTCAACAGTAAAAGGGTGGGACCTAGATGCCAATCTAGTAGCACGCTTAAATTCATATAGTCGGGGCACCAGGGAAAATAGATTGTCAGAGAAGCTGCCGGGAAAATATTTGTAGAAAACTCAGAGGGAAGCCATGTTACGTCTGTGGGAAAATGACTGAAGTCGAGATGCTAAGTTAGGATCGATTACATTGCAGATCCTTCTTTGAATTTTGTCAAGAACTTCGAGATGAACAGGAGCACCAGACCAGATATGGCAACAGTATTCAATGCCCAAACGAATGGTAGATTTGTAAATGTGCAAGATGATCTCTGACGAGAAAAACCTTCTGGCATGACACAATGAACCAACTTTCCTTGCAGTAGATACAGCTATTGATTCAATGTAGTAGTTCCACTTCAAGTCAGTTGAAAACGTGAGACCAAGAAGGCGAAGTAAGACCCTCACCTGGAGTCGAGCATCAGCCTTACTGATGGCGGACAGGGAAGTTATTCTATGGTGGTTAAACGAGAGCAGTTTAGCTTTGGAGGGATTAAAATTTACAAGCCATTTCTTGCCCCAGTTAACCACTAATTGGAGGGCCTTTTCAAGAGCAGCGGTCAGATTAACTTTATCAACTCTGATGGAGTTGCTATTGAGACGGGCGTAAATGGTAGTGTCATCTGCATGAATGTCTATCTGGGAACTGCTGACATCAAGGAGATCATTGATGAAAATCAGAAACAGCATTGGACCCAGGATAGAACCTTAGAGGACGTTTGTTTGAAAGGATCTAGAAGCGAGCCTGTTTAGAACGACCATCATTTCACGATTTGAGGATGGAACAATCGTCCTGTAATATCGTAGCCCTGAAACTTAGAAGACGTTTGAGATATCTGAAAGCTCGACTTCTGTTATTATCAAGAGCTTGATATACATATTTAGTATTGGCCGTAAGAATGTTTTAGACTGGGCAAAACGGAATCCCATCGTGAAGGTGAGATGCTTAATGACTTCAGTATTAATTAAAGCCTTGAATACTTTGCAGAAAAGTGGTAGGAGACTAATAGAGTGATTTGATTAACATTAATTCCATTTATAATTTAACGATTGGATTTAATCACAGCTAAACATAGCAAGCTCCTTTTCGTCCATGATAATTTTGAATTTTTCCCGCGCGTTTCGCAGCGTCTCAAACAGCCAGCGTTTGCAAGCCAGTTGTTTGTCCTCAACCTGAGTAGACGGGCAACCACAGGCCTTAAACCCTTATTTCAAACAATGTCGTCTTCTACCAAGACTTTTTTATCCTTTTGAAGCTGCCAACAGGTCGGACTTTTTTTCTCCGTTTTCCACTGGAAGATGTTTTAGAGATACGCGACACGATTCGTATGCAACTAGTCGCGACTGCATTAATGGCGTATTTTTATCCCTCGGCAGGGGCCTTGATATACGGGGATGTTTGAACGAACAAATTGCTAATCACAGGTCAGGACCTTTTTGTACCAGAAGACGTTTTTAGAGTAGACACTCGTCGGGGCAAAAACAGGGAATCGAAACCATAATTGTTTTGAACAAATATTTTTCGTCTTTCTCTTTGGGAGTAAATTCTACAAGACCATGTTTCGTTTCTACCGGCTAGATGCCCAAGCAGTCCAGAACATTTGAGATTTTTCGTCTTTCTCTTTGGGCTCGCCGTAAATCATTCTACAAGACCATGCTTCGTTTCTATCGGCTAGATGCCCCACAGCAGTCAGAACATTTACCAGCGGTCAATTCAATGTTTACCGAACATTCTTTTAACTCTGAACCTGTACATTAAAAATAAATCACTTACAACTTAAAATATCCACAGTGAGTACTCCTTTCTATCTGTGCGCACATTCTTTTTCCGGAACTGTAAAACTTTCTTTTCCCGCCTTTGGCCACTTTGAACACTTTTCATTGATCCCTACCTTGGGATGAGTTACTCGACTGTTTAATTAAAGTTTTGTTTACTCATGTTTTATAAACAGATGTCTTTGTCAGGAGATATAACTTGTTGATTGACCCCTTTCCTCATTGTTCATTCACGCATATTTATCTTTTATAGGCTTAGAGGTAATAATCAGCACTGCAACCGGGTCTGCAACAAGAGTTAGAGGATTAAAAACACGAGAGTTCTTAAAAACACGAGCTACAGAGGAGGATTTCCAACATGCTGGAAAACAGGAAGCAGCGAGGCAATAGTTGTAGAGTTTCGAGAGAAATGGAGCCAGCTCGGGAGCACATTTCTTTAGGACAATGGCTGGTATCCCGTCACTTCCACTTGCCTTATGGGAGTCTAATTTAGAAATGATATCCGAGACCAGTGACGAGTTTATGCTTTAGAGGGGAAATTATGTGTGGGTACTTCAAATGAGTCGAGTGTTGAATTGGGAGAGAATTTCCGAGCAAAGCATTCAATCTTATCTGCTGTAGATGTCAGGACTTCAAATTCATTGAATAGAGGAGGGATTGAGGATTTGCTGTTATTTAGCAAACTCTTTCAGAACCGCCAAATATATCTAGTTACTATACTTTGTTTCATTCTATCAAAAAACTGTAACTTCGCTTCATTGAGGACACGCTTGCACTCGTTACGAACAGAGATAAGGAGATGTTTGTTGCAATCAGACGGGTCGCTCTGATACAGCTGGAAAAAAAGTTATTGCAGTGGGCTATAGCGGTCGAGCATCCAGGTAAGAACCAAGGAGATGAACGCGGTTTAACTTGATATTTTCTTGCTGGAATGAAAGTGTCAAAGCCGGCTTTCACACAGGAGGAGACCCCCAGACGCGCATTTTTGAATAGGATGATTAGAAACTCCCAAGGGCCTTCACGAACGAAATCACGGAATGAGTCCCAGTCTGCTCGGTGATAACAGAAAGATATTTGGTTGGTAGAAGTTTCTTAATATGGTGGGGGATCGGAAGAACATGTTTACAGACACCACCGCATGATCAGAGTTGCCAAGAGAGTAGAGCTGCGTAGTACAACAAGAGTCAGTGATAGTGGGAGAAAAGCTTGAGAAGAGAAGCGTGTCCGTCAGGGGGAAAATGCGTGGGGAAATCAACCACTTGCGTGAGAGATTGAGCGATTGAGATGTTAAGGGTTTGGATGACAGTGAGGTCGGTGACAGAGTGTTTAAGCCACCTGGTATGGTGGGCATTAAAATCACCGAACACAAATATATTTGCAAATGGGTGTAGGGAGATGGCCTTGTCTATATTATCAGAAATACTATCTAGCACGCAACAGCCTTGAGAGGAAGGGGGACAATGTAGAAAGAAGAGATAGAAGCTGACTGAATTAAGTAAAAAGAGACGGAGACACATGTAAGAATGGTCTGAAGATTCAAGAGAGAGTTCCCTAGCTAGCGGGAGATGTTCGCGGAAATAAACTCATGTGAGCTCTCTAAGGAGAAGACGGTAGCCAGCAATCGAGAATTCAGAGGAAGGGATTGAAGAGTTAAGATTAGTTTCGCCGAGAGCTAGGATGTCCAGGGACTTTTCGAAGTGGAATGATTCCACACTGCAGGAGTTGGTATGAATACCACGAATGTTCGATAAAGAAAGGTTAAGGGGTTTAGTTGTTTATTTGTTGAGCTGGGTTAAGCTTATGTCTTTGGTTGTTTAATGTCATGATGTGTTATTTTGGTAAGGAAAAGCCTATGGTAGTAGTAGGGGTCGGTTATCTAATGTAATATGTGCAGGAAAGGAACAGGCGCAAACTACAATGTAGTGTGGTCTCAGGTTTAACCACTAGAGATGCTTGCAGGGATACCCTTCCATGTGCGACATGGCACGGCAAGAACCCTGATATTATGCAACTGTTGATCAGGGTAGCCTCTCAAGACGCTTCGCAACAGCTCGGGCTCCTAACTACTAGTCGGGAACAGCGAACAGAAAACTGCCAACCCGGTACTCTTAGTATGAAGGTACGTTACCACCATTCACGCATATCATAAAAAAATCATGACAGCACCACTATTAAAGCCTGAGGAAAGGAAAGGAACAGGGATTTTAAATAAAAGGAAAAAAAGACACCAATTTCAATAATAATCGGAATCGGGCAGGTGATTGTTGTTTTGTAATAAAACTGCCAAAATGCAACTATTGGATTCTTTATACGAATTCTGGATGTAAAATGAAATGTGGAATGAAAAACGAGATTTCTATTACGTGATAGGTACTTACACTTAAAAATAAAGAAAACTATTACCTTGATTGAATTTGTAAACGATCATTAAATAGAAGTCCATTATGTCTCGATATAAAGAAAAGAGATCTTTAAGAATTTAGGTAGAAAGAATTGCACGTCTTTTAATATCTCGTATATTCATTCTCATATCAATTCTTTATTCGGCAGCTTTTAAACTTTCTGCGCATTCCGAAACATGAATTGTATCCCGATAGACGTGTGGATCGTTTCTTCTATATCTGATTATCCGCTTGCCTTTTTAAGCATGCCTATATCAAAAGAATCGTGTATTAAAGTCATCTTTTCGGTTATTTGGAAGCTGTCTTTTTCATTGGCTATCATTTTTTTTATAAGGATATGTTCCTTAAAGTACAAAAAAAAAAAACAAAAACGATGGATTCCTTCTTTCTTCGCTACGTGTTGTCGTCATGGAACCAGTCGGAATTTCATTTTCCACTTGGAGATGGCAAATTCGACATGCTGAAATTGTTTCTTTTTCTTTTCCTTTCTCTCGTCGCGCTATTCATTTATCTAGACTTTATTCTGTTCTTCCATTATCTAACACACCCACCGTTATGACAGATATTTGAATGTATAAACCTCTAAAAAAATATAAGCATGTCTTCTGCTTGCGACTATACGACAGAAATTAAATCTAGCGTGTTGCCGTCGTGTAACGATATGTTTTTTTACCAATTATAAATATATTTGGTTAAAATGCCTCAACATTTTCAAAATAAGTGATTTCAACACGTAAATGGATTTATATATATATATATATATATATATATATATATATATATATATATATATATATATATACCTAGGTTTGACCTAAACAATCGTCTACCTTGATATATATATATATATATATATATATATATATATATATATATATATATATATATATATATATATATATATAGTTCCCTTCCACTTATCACCAATCACAATTTTTAAATCTAAGGTTATTTTCATAAAGATTCGCACAGCGAGAAATCAAACAGGAAACGGATTTTTCTAACAATTACACCTATAAGCAGGACTCTACCCAACCTCAAGAACTAATGTTGGATAGTTTACACCATAACTCTGTTTATTTCTCCCATCCGCAGATAAAGAACATAGGCGTGTTCGAAAATTCCGAATTGGAACCTCAATCTCCGTGCTTTATTTTTGTCACCTGGTTAATATTAATAAATGTTTTTCGTACTGATGTCGTCGATACCCTTTCGTTTGACTTTGTTTTATTGACCAACTTATCTACTCTCTCCTCTCTCTCTGCATATATATATATATATATATATATATATATATATATATATATATATATATATATATGAAGTGTTGGAATCATATTTTTAAATAAATAATTATATATATATATTTAAATAAAAAAGAAAGAACAGTAAAAAAGATATATAATCCGGTGTTCTTATAGATATTTTATTTTTACAAAATAGTGCTCAATGTAAATTTACAGAGCATTAATATTATAAATTAATTGATTTAAAATATGGTTTTTCCACTACAGTTCTAACCATGTTTCAAAATAGAAGCTTGAGGATGAAATGGAACTAATGCTTTTAATTTAATTGCAAAATTAAATTCGGGGCTTTTAGCTTCTATTTTGGAAACATGGTTAGAACTGTGTGGAAAACCATATTTTAAATCAATTAATTTATAATTATATATATATATATATATATATATATATATATATATATATATATATATATATATATATATATAATGGATATCGGCTTGGATTGAGGAATCGGAGGCCGAGTTCGAATCCATTACATTCAATTACGTACTAATACTCTTGGGAAAGGTATGAATCCTCTTCTTCTCCCTCCAAATATGGGTAAATAGCAGGACAGACTGGGTTCTATAGCCTTGGATGGCAACTGGTCTAGAAGAAGGACAACTCTGAATTCAAAACCTGCCGAATACAGTATTCGGCCCTTCAAAAGGTGTAGATGGTCCTGCACGAAACCTTCACCACTATAATCAATTCTCATGTGCTGTTGTTGGGCTGTCGGTTTCCTGAGAACTGATCTGTTTGACCCCCGTACGTCGGATTCGACGAGAGTCGCGCGCGATATATATATATATATATATATATATATATATATATATATATATATATATATATTGAATAATAAATAAAGAGAAATTAAAATTATGCGATTATCTGTTGAGTTTGTGTGTGTACATGTGTGAGAGAGAGAGTGAGTGAAACAGAGAGAGAGAGAGAGAGAGAGAGAGAGAGAGACTCCAGGTGCTTTTGTTGGAACCAAAAAGTTGATTCGTCCGAATGAAGAGGTCACCACGGAGGGGAAACAAGACATGTCTTGTCACCATGTCATCCTGTGGTTGTAGACAAAAGGAAAAAAGGGGAAGATGGCTTGGGTGTTTCTCTTTTATACACAACGCCACATATCAGGCGTAAAGAGAAGTCCCATGGTAGAGAAAGTGAGGTAATCCCACGCAAGTATATTTCTTTAAAGGAAATGGAATAGGCGCCCATAAGCAATAAGCTGCATTACTTAACTATCCACATATTTTTCAACAAAATGCCACCGTCCCTCCATTCGATATTTAACGGCGACCAAATCAATAACAATATACCGTTTACTTTCAGTACTAGTTCCCTTTTATGTGTCGTGTCTCTTCAGGGTGAGAGCAGTAATGACTCTCCACTACTTCCTAACTTGTATATCTCTAAAAAAAGTTTTTCCCCTTACCATATATCCCAAACTCTTTTCTGTCATCCATTTATACAATCTCTCTAGATAGCTTACTCAATTTTTCCCTTCACCCGTCTTGCTTTTAATATGTCCTCTTTCCACATTATAAAATTTCCTCTTTATTCGTATGTCCTGCCAATGGTATTTTCAGCATTCTTCTGTAGAACCAAATCTCTGTTGCCTCAAGGTTCTTCTTCATCTCTGACGAGGGTGTCCACCATTAAGTGCCATAGAGGAGGATTGATATTACATAACAGTTCAGTACACATCTCTTTGTTTGTAACGAAATATTACTGTTTATACTTTATTTTGAAAGGCATCTTTCGTTGTTCCATTGCATCGGTGGCATTGTGAGAATAGAAAGATTATGTTTTCTTTTATTTTTTTTTTTTTTTGGAAAGGGCCCGCATGCCTAGAAAATCATCATTAAAAGATTTCGAATTTTACCTAGGCTTGAGCAACAATCACTCGCGTTAGAGTAAAATAAATAACTACCTCGCACGCAATAAAAGGTCAAATACATTTGCACTTGTCTTATTTTTTTGTTTTTTAATTCTTTTTTTTTTTTTCATCACTTCCTTGTTTTTCCCATTTTCATCTTTTTTTTTTTTCCCTCGATTCCTTTCCCGGTTTAAAATGTTCTTAAATCAGAGTACACGTATCCCTCGGGGTACGCGAGCAAGTCTCTTGGGTTATCGGCACTTCGCCTCTTTTTTATGATTAAAAGTTTGCGAATCTTCTGTCTTTTTTTCCCAGATAGAAAGAAACAACCCGTTTCTGTGTTCCACATCGCTACACCTCTCCAACGACCAGGCCAAAATGTTCACCTTAATTGACCCTGTGTGCTACAACACGCAATGTCTTCTCAAAGGTTACACCAACACTTTCGGGCAGGACGAAAGGGTAAATAAGAGAAAAAGGTTTGGGAACCCCTTAGTCTTCATACAGCTTCAGTTAATTTATTATGAGTTTACTCATAAAAAAAATAATGGTATAATTTAAATCTATTATTATGAGTCTTTCCTATTAAGTTATTAAATATACAAGCGCAAAAAGTGTCCGTCAAAAATGATGTGATTATTTATATACGGATTAGTATTTCTGGCTAGGATCAATAGTGTACCTGTGTATCCTGGTTAATTCGTATTTGTGATATATTTTTACCATACATGCTTGAGCATTGAAATGGGGGTATAGTGGATACCCTTTTCTCCACCCTCAACCAGTTCAGACTTTCCAACTAGTGTAAAATTTACTTGTCTTTTATAAATATTTGTTTTATTTACACTTGAAAAAATGTCCTGGTTTTTGTTTTTATCACGAGCACCTGAACAAGGACGAAGGGCATGGCGGTCGAAACGTTGTGATAATAGAACCAAGATCTAAATGTAAATGGTGAGTACTTCTCAGCCGAGAGATTCAATCAGAAATTATCTATTTGCTTTATGGAAGCAAAATTTCTTGACTAGAATATTCAAATACACATGATGTAATATTACGGAATTTGGAAAATGATTACTTTATCCGAGAAAGTGTATAAAAACAAATGTAAGTTAAATTTATGCAAATATTATTTATCGAAAATGCAATCACCTTTAATGGACTACAATCGTTTAAGACGAGTCTAACGGAAAAGGTAAATCTTTGACTCCACATTTAAAGAAAAAAAACATGTTTAAAAGACTTTTTTTTCCAACTTCCTTGTTTCTGAATGTCTTTTTAACCATTTCACCCCAAACAAGTCAATAAAACCACAAAGACGCAAGAATACGAGAAAAAAATTATTAAGGAGAGAGAACAATAAAAAAACAAGAATTACGAAGACAGAAGATAACGATTGACATTGCATTTAAATTTTTGTAGATCAAACTTGGCTGGAAAACATGAATCCGGAAGAGCGTTCCACAACTGGGAGTGCGATAGAAGAAACTATTAGCATAGAACTTACGGTTAGATCTCGCCATTTCATCTTTAAAATTGACGCTAATCTAGTTTTACGCTTAAATCCATAAAGTCTAGGTACCATAGAGGAGTGTTCATAAGAACAATTATCATGAAAGTATTTATAGAAAATGCACTTTACTGCTGCGGAAATGTGACTGAAGCTGAGATGCCAGGTTAGGACTAATAACATTACAGATTCTTTTTTTTTCTGGATTTTATCAAGAATCTCTAAATATATAGCTGGAGCATCGGTCGAGATGTAGCAGCAATATTCAAAACAAAGGCGAATGATAGACTTATAAATAATGTATGATAGATTCTGGCTAGAAAAATTGTCTTCCAGTAATGAAATTTTCTCGTTCTCGAAAGAAATGAAAATCTGTAGGCGCTAAATTTGACGAGTATTGAGCATGTGGAAGAAACTGCCATTCTAATGATCTTATTTTTCTTGGGTTTGTTTTGCAGAAAGCACCTTTGCATTGTCATGCAGTAGATTAACCCCTTTTCTCTTTCAGTTTACCAAAGAAGTACACTCTGTAGTCGTGCTACCCATTATCTGTCGGAACGCATATAATTACGCAATGGCGCATAGGTTCCTTTTTAAAGTCATAATCCTCCATTGGATTGAACTACGAAATGCACTGTAAATAAACACTGTCGGATTGAAGAGATGATAAACTAATTATAGATGCAGTTTCATACTGTTCAACCTTGGTTCTACCTTGTTTGGTTGACTCATAATGCATTGTGCTGAAATGTGTAATTACTTTCCAACCACGCCAATATATAGATAGGTTCATATTTGTAATTATTTTTAAGATTGCGTATTCGTTAGAAACAAAGAAAAGAGTGCTTGACTTTTATGTGATATCAAT